TGGATTTCAATGGCTTCCCTGTGCAGCCTAACATAATGATTGCTGGTGTTGTCCAGTACTTCAGTATTTTGAAATAGAATTTCATGTCCAGCTTGGTTTAAGGCATTTTCAGCTACTGCTGGTTTTTCCAGTTCAACTTAGCGTATAGTCCAAGAACATTTGGCGTATAGTCCAAGAACACTGCTGTAGGTAAATTGCAATATGTGTAAGAAAGGGGAGCTGGGACACCTCTTTTCTAAGTAGTCTTTTTTAATTGTTCCACTTCTAATAATTTGAGTGACAACAAGTCTGCTATGGCACAAATAATGGGTTCTCTTCTTCTCCCTCTCCTTAGAGTACACAGCAACAAAAAGGCACTGTCAGTGTGGTTTGTTTACGCTAAGGTGCTTGTTTGTCTGTGACCAAACTTTCATAAGAGCAAACAGTTGCCATCGTTTTTTTCTTTCTGACTATGCTGGGAAGGAAAGGTTAAAAAGTCTTATGTTTCTTTCTTGTAATATTTGGATGTCGCTTGACAGGTAAAACCAAAGTTGTTGGCCTGTCAATCCTTAGTTGGTTCAAATTATGACTGCTGTTAAGAATTAGGTGCCAACTAGGGCACACATTTCTTGTAAAAAAGAACATGCAGTACATATCTGGAAATATCTGTCTTTCCAGAGTCATATGCAGACTGAAGTTTAGTGCAGAAAATGACATTCCACTCTCTATCAACATCTGATCCTTTCACATGTATTTTCAGTAGATTATCAAGGTGGCATTTTAGCAAAAGGAAAAAAGTGGACTCTAGAGAGAAGGATCAAAATAAAGAAGGGATTTTACACGGGGAAATTTACTTAAGGGTTTACCTTGGTTACTTATTAAATTTATATATTGTGCATCTAGTGGCAAGCAGCTACTTTGAGTAGTTTATAGCAGATTAACACACACACACCATGCCCCCAAACAAACAAATATTAATAACAGAAAAAAAACCTCAGAGGCAACAGCAAAGCAAAATAAAAATTCAGATGTAATAGGTCAACAAAGTCTGTCATATGGGGACTGTGTTCTTAAAGGCATCCTTAAACAGCTCAACTTTTAACACGCTTCCTGAATGTCAAGAGAGTGGGGGCCTGGCATATATTCACAGGTAACACATTCCAAAGCATCATGGCCACCACCCAAAAGGCCCAGTTCCTGGTGGTCATTTTCCAAGCCTCCCTTGAGATGGCCACCCATAATAGTGAAACCTGGGAAGAATGGGTGGCCCAAGTAGATGCTCTTAAGGAGAGACACTCCAACAGGTTTTACAGATTTCATGTTTTTAATAATATTTGTGTGCAATCAAGTCAATTCTGATTTGCAGGACTCTTTCTTTGGGGTTTTCCAGGTAGAGAATACTCAGAAGTGGTGGTCTATTTCCTTCTTCTGGGGGCAGCCTGGGACTATACATTCCATCCCTGTATCAGAACACATTGAAGGTCATAATCTAGCCTGATGGCATCAGAAATCAGGACATAATTAGTTGTGTCATTAGAAAAAAAATTATAAACCCCCTGCCTCAGATCACAAAACATGGGGAGGTGATTGTAAGCCTTCTTTCCCAAGCCATAATTCAAATGAAAGTGCTCCTGATTCTGAACCTGGCTATTGGATACCAGTGTAAGCTTTTCTCCTAAAGGAGATTGTGACTACTTGAAGGAGGAGGTGATGTCAGGAGATTTCTTCCCAGAGCATTTGCCATTGTCATTGTTTTAAAAAAGTTGTACTGGTTCTTATTAATGTGTTGTATAACTGACAATTTTTTTATTTGTGATAAGGTGTTGCATCTACAGTGGCACTCAGTGGTGAACAAAAAATTTATAGTGCTAGTAGTACATTCACTTGCTATTGTAGATTAATAGGTTAAGTACTTTTTAGTTAAACAATTGGCTTCTAGAGAAGGTTGTTGTTGATGTTCTTCTAGGCTTTTTAAAAACATGGTTCTAATTTTTCAAAATCTTTTTATTCAGTTGTAGTTTTAATACATAATGTCCTTAATTGCTTTCTACTAATATAATTCATTGCCTTTTTTCTGCTTTCATTGTTTAAATACTGTGTGAGGCACCTTGAGTATATTTATTGGGAGAAAGGCAAGATATAAATCAAATGAATGAATGAATGAACAAATAATACTCAGTTCTTAAATTATGTAGAAGAACAGTGAGGTACTTAATAAAATCCACAAGTCCCACCTCATAATTTGGTTGTCATAAAACTCTCCTCTACTCCTCTAGCTGCCAGCATTTCAAGTACTGTGAATACCACATTTTTTGATAGAATCGTGTGTGTGATGTCTATCTAAAATGAAATTCATGCATTTCTCTTAACTGAAGTGAGACATTTCAGCAGAATGTGAGCACTTGTTCAGGCCAAAATTAACAAAGATTATTCATCTGTGACTTGTAATGCATTGTGGTCTAACTCTTTATAAGGCACGAAAAAAATATGTGAGCAAAGAGATCACTTTTCCTGGACTGCAGTTCCAAACTGTTGGTGACACAGGATTTATCCGCTTCAATGCCAAAGGGTATTTTTTTTTCTTTTTAGTATATAGCCATACAGTACCAGTGACTATTTAAAGAGGAATGTGCATATAGCTATATACTAACAAGAATATGGTTATATAGCCATACACACGCTCCCCTTTCTTTTCCATCTTTCTTTTTACCACTTTAGAAACTGGCTTCTGATTAATTTAAACAAGGTGCTTTTTGTTGTTCCTCCTTCTGTTTACTTCTTAACTTTAGATAATAGATTTCAGTGGTCAGTATTTTGAACAACTCTGTTCATAGTTACTGAACGTGTCATGTAGCATTTGTTGAACATATGAATGAAATTGTAATTTGAAAACCTGCTTTATCCTTATATAACATTAATTCCTGTCTTCACTCTTTTGTTCCAGGTACTATCCTGGTAGACAACATGTTGATCAAAGGTACTGCAGGAGGACCTGATCCTACCATTGAACTAACATTAAAAGATAATGTTGACTACTGGGTAATCCTAGATCCTATCAACCAGCGGCTTTATCTAAACAGTACTGGGCGAATTCTGGACAGAGATGTAAGTTGGCTCTTCTCCCCCAGCTTCACACCAGCATGAAATGTGTCTTTATAACTAATCAAATTGTTCAGTGCAATCCTTGTTATCTCTGTTTACTCAGATGCATATTCCATATAGCCCAGCTAAGTGTCTTTAGGATTTCAACATAAAGATGGTTTTCAGAAATTCAAGATGATGTAAGAGCCAAAAATGGTTTGTTTTATAGCCCCTCGCTATTTCATTTAGTCTAGTGATACAATGTTAAAACAATAAATTATATACACATAGGATGTTTTTGTGTGTATGTGTGCGTGTGTGCATCGTACAGCAGTCTCCTCACTTGATGACAGAAGTGAAGGAGATTAGGATACTCTGTTCAATATGTGTGGACTCCACACACATTGAGTTTCCAAAATAAACAATGTAAGCAGTTAAAGACCTGAACAATTGTTTTTCTTTAATGCAGGCCAGCACACTTTATGAGCTGCAACAGGAACATATCCCTGGAAATGTGTATAGTGGCCCACCAAGGTTTTAATCCTGGTTTTATTATGTGCTTTGGACTACAAAAACAAAGAGAAAGGCAGTCAATCCCTTGTTATGGAGCCCAAGTACAACTGGTGTGCTGGCTCTATGTGGATTGCCCTAGAATAAAATGGCCTGTGTAAATGATACAGCAATGTTGCCCTTTTAAAAGAAGGGTGATCATAGTATCTTTAATTAATGTACAATGATGTGCAATTACTTTAATGATTCTTTCGGCTATTTGTTTGTTTCTGTAATATCCTCTATTGAAACAATTTGAGCTGTTTACTATTCCAGAAATATAAACGTAGATAGTATAAATATGAATATATCCTGAAGGCTAAATAAGCTAGTGATGCTGCTGAAGTTCTTCTCTGGGCTAGAAAGCAAAATAGCCAACTCTTATTTCATTCCTTATTTGCCATCTCAGTTTTGTTAGAGATTACAAAGAATCTATTGCCATCTTGAGTCAACAACTCTCTAATCCACTCTGGCAACTAAAATCCAGATCAAGCCAAGGAACGTTTGCTCATCAGTAGTGCAAGGGTAGGCAGAGTTAATGAGGAGTATATGAACAAGAGCTTAGATTGACATTTAAGAAAATAAAATATCAACATTGTGAATCAGAGTTCATCAGTAATTAGAAGTTTGTTTGACAAAAAGAATTACAAATTACCAAGATCCTGATATCCCTCCTGTTGTTTTGTTCCAAATTTTTAAATATATTTGCCTCCAGTGAATGTGTCTGGCTTCATCTGGTTAAAAATTCATAAATCTCAGCATCACTCTAGTGTCTTCCCTCTTCTCTCCTGATCCCACCCCCCATAATTCTTTTTATAGCACTGATCTCCTTCTGCCTCCCTCTGGCCCTCCTTCCCTTCCTCTCTCCTCTCTCCTTTAACTGATTATCAAACAACAATTGAAGCACCTATGAACTCTGGTCTTCTGAATCACCTACCAGTAGTAAATGTTAATTTCCTGTACAAACTGACCAATTTAAGAGATTGGTGGAGTTCTGGTAGGTGGAACTAGGGCCTAGAGAACAAAGCAACCACTTCTGACACAAATGCTGGCTCATTCCTCTTCTACTGGGAAACCAATAAAAACTCAGGAGAAAGCTCAGGAGAAATGCATCGAACCTCAGCATAAAAGCAGAGATGAACAAATAGTATTAAATAACATGACAGAGAAGAAACAGGGGCATGAGTTGCTGAATTCAAGGCAGTTGCTTGGAAGACTAAAAAGGTTAGACATTCATCATTTCATGTCCTTAGACAAGAAATAATGTTTTGTTTAGCTTACCTTGATTGCAATTTAGTACAACTTTGTGGGGCCAACAAAATTGCTTTCAGGAGACATAAACTTGCCCACAGACTGCCAATTAGCCATTGCTGGTAGAAGGAATAGATATGTGCATCACAAATCTTCTTGTTGTACAGAGTTCTAAAGAACCAAATTCACCATAGTCTCTGGCCAAACCAAGCAGTTTTACACCACAAGGTTTGCCTTAGCTCAGAGTTTACCTTGCATTTGTAGCATAATTAGCACAAGAAGTATATACATTTATTTTAGAGCTTGATTGGACAGTTGCTATTGCACTGTTGATGGCCTATGACAAACGGTAACAGCCAAGGCCCAAGCGTAATTTTTTTAACTCCTATACAAATTTATCACATAAAGACACACTCACATGCATCTCACCATGATCCCATCCTATGCATACAATCCCTTTAGAAAGAATGCTTTCTATTTTAATTCTTTAAGTATATTTTCTGAATTATTGAAATGTTTCCATGGCCTACCTAGGCATTTTTCTTTTGTCTTGTGCCCCAAAACATTCTGTTTACTAATCATTCCATTTGGCTTAACAATCCGTTTGAAGAAGAATTCTACAGAGTTCATTGAGTATCAGTTTTGGAACTCTTTCAGGACGAACACACAAAGAAACAAATGGGTAGTTTTAGTTATAGCATAATAATGCTGCCTGTCAATAGCATAGTGTGGGCAGTTGCTCCATTTCCTGCTCTGAGCAGTTGGTGGCGGTGGGGTTTGACAATGGCCAAGTGGACCCGCCTCCTTTGAGAGGGCAGCCTGAAGCAGCCTGGCTTCGCTCCTTCAGTGTAAACAAAGCGGGTGGGTGGGCCACATGGAGGGAATGGTGCAGGGAGGGGCTCCGCCAGTACCGAACCCCCTCCCCAGCTGCTTCCCAAGGCAACCTCAAGAGGGCGCAATATTTGCCTTGCTCTGGTTGCTGGCAACCCACACTATGCCACTGCTGCCACCTGCATATGGTGCAAAAACTTTAAAACCCAGTGCCAAGTAACTTTTAATCAGTCCTAGTGAAGGACAGTGTTGGGCAGTGTAGGTGGTGGTGTCAGGCTCTTGTTGGAGCTGGTTTTTATTTATTTAAATTTATTTATTTATTAGTTTTTTATCCCGCCCATCTAGACCAAGGGTCTACTGTAACCCAATCCCCTCCTCAAAAGTGGTTTGGCTCCAGTGACTCTTGCTCAGCTTTGATTCCTTCTTCTTCCTCCATGCTCAGCTGTTTCCTCTCCAAAGAGATTTTTCACAGTTACTCATCTCTTTTCTTTATTAATTTTTAACACATGGAAAGAGACTGTGGTTGGCTGACATGTTGTTATGTCAGTGCAAGTGCTGTATTACCAGTCAATATAAAGAAGAAGAAGAAAGGTGGGGGGGGACACAGATGAAGGGGAAGGGTAAACCGGTGGGGAGAGTGGTGCTAATTGGGTGGGAGGCTTTGCTCTAGCTAATAACTGCAGCAATTTTAGGTGGACTCCTGCAACACAGCTCTCTGAGGATACATAATTTTGTGTGAATACCAACAGCAGTTTCAGTAGTGGAAACTATGAGGGGACAGAAAATGCATTGGGATTGTTAGATTCCATACCCCAGAATTCTTCTTTCTGTGATTTCAACATGCCGGAGCAATACCTAAATTTTGCTCACCTGGAGAATGACTGGACTGGGAAGCTTTATGGACTAGGATAGGTCATAAAGCTCAGCCTAGCAGCCTGTTAGTGAAGGAATGATTCCTGGAAACTTGCTGGCGCTTGATTTACTGTAGGTTGGAGATAGGATTAAACAAGGTAGAAAAAGAACACAACAAGTAGTTGCTGTAAATATTGCAATGCATGATTTGTAATTTAGTGTCAGTGTTTTCTGATGGTAGTGGAGGTTCTGATTGGGCTTCCCTTCTTTTGGTTTTCTAGACCAGGGGTCTCCAAACTACGGTCCGCGGGCTGCATCTGGCCCACCTTGTCTTTGTATCTGGCCCACCATACACCGCAGGCTCATGTCCATCCCCTTCAGCCTGTCCGTCCCCTTCAGCCTGCACGCATGTGTGTGTGTTCGTTTGGCCGTCAAAAATTTGTAAAATATATGATGTGGCCCTCATGCTGAAAAGTTTGGAGAACCCTGTTTCACTAATCTGCTCCTTTCTTTGGGAGACTGCCACCTGGAATTTAGAACGTGGAGGGACAGGCATCCCTTCCCCGGAAACAAGCTACCCTGTCCTCACTCATTATGTGCCTGCAGCAATCTCGCTAAGTGCCAAAGCAGATGTTGCTCCTGTTTTTCTATGGAGAAATATATGTGTACAGAGAGCATTAATTGTCCTCTTCATTCAGTCCCCCTCCACCCAGCAAGCCTAGGTGCTTTCATGCCTTATCGCCTTGATTTCCCTCCCTCGCAATTGCCAGACAATTCACAAAAGGCCCTTCAGAACTGTGCAAGGCTCTTGTAAGAGTTTAATTTGTGGATTGTTAGGAACTCATCTCTTTCAGTGGAAGAACCTATTGAAATTCAAAACATCCCCCTTTCTAGCCCTGTCACATGTTAGGAAGTGAAGAGATAGATACAGGTGATGTAATCATCTGACAGAGTAGTCAATAGAATTTCTCCTATATAAAAGCAGCGATTATTTAAATGTGCACACCATACTCAGAATGCCTGCTGAGTAAGCCAAGAGGGTTTCTTCCCTCTGGCCAAGCCTGCAGCTCCTTTCTGCTGCCAATCACTTCCTTCATTTCTTTGCCCTTTCTTCAGGTGTTGGGACTCCAGGGCATACATCGTATTCTTAGATGCATCTGATCTGGTGATGCCCTGAAGCATCTCAGTTTTGAACCAAACAGCCAAATACATGATCCTTTCTTTTATTAACTTATTTTGAAAAGAACTTTATTGAAGGTTTTTAAAAGACAGGTTTATAAAAATACACACTGTTCGTTTTCCCCCCGTCAAGTGAGAATCGGAGCATTTCTATTTGACTTCAGCAGCTTGAGCTCTTTATTCAGAGACAGAGGCAAGAGTGAGCAAACATCTTTGGTAATTTTTAAAAAAGCATTTGTACAGGATGAACTGAAGTAAAATGAGGTGATCATACATGTCATCAGTCTTTGGGCATCATATAGGAAGGAGGAGCTTTCAGAAATAAATTGATAGTTTTCATAGTGGAATTAAAAAAAAAAACAAGTAGGATGATCCAGTTATCTGTACTGGGAACAGTGCTTACAAAATACCTGATGTCAAGAATATATTGGTAAGGTCACCACTTTCGTGATTGAATCTAAACTATTTTGGATGGTGAAAAACACTGAACTTGATGAATGGGCAGCAAAATGGCAAATGAGATAAATCAAAACAACAACAATAAATGAAATTCAGGATCAGCAAGGTAGTACTGGACTTGCAAAAAAGGTGGAATTTAATAATGTGTAATAAAATAATCTTCATTTATACATAGCTTGAATTGGAATTGGCTGTAATTAGGAAAGAGATATTTTTTCTTTAATATTTATTATTATTTTTAGCAACACTTGAAGAATTTCAAGTGTTTACCATCTATACCTCCCCCCACAAATTTCCCGTAAAGTATTATTTTCTTTTATATTATTATTGCTGTTCATACATACAAAACAACAATAATAAGATCTAACAAATATAACATAAATAATAAAAGACAACAAAGCCAATCATTCATACTACATATATGAATCAGAGATTTTGCCATCATCTGGTCATCTAATATAATCAAAGGGTTCTTTGAGTGTGATGCAATGGTTTGTTAGCAGAATCAGGAAAAAAGATACATTCCATGTTAGGATTTATTAAGAAGGAGACTGAAAATAGGAACATGGGAAGTTGGCTCGTGCTATGTCAGACTACTGGACTGTCTAGTTTGGGATGATCCACACTGACTAGCAGAAATTCTCCAGGGTTTCAAACAGAAGTCTTTCTTGCCTGGGATCTTTTGCATGCGGACAGTGTTTTCAAACGCTGAGCTGTGGCTGTCCTGTATAATGATATCTCTGTATATACCTATAAAGTTGCCACAAGTGGAATACTGGTAAAAATTTGGTTTCTGCATCCTATAAAGAAAACCAAAGGGGTAGAACAAATGCAGAAAAGGGCAGACAAAATGGCCAGGGGGTAGAGCATCTTCTCTGCTGAAAAGTGAAGCTTTTTAAAGAAAGAAAGAAAATGAGATGATTCAGGTGGGACACAATGGAAAGAGGTAGAGGATGCTTTTTGGTTCATTAGTGAAAATCCAATTTGGAAACTGCCTGGAGACTCACATTGTAAAAGTGGCTGGGGCTAGATGTCGTTTTTACGATTGTGAATCTTTTCCTACTAAGGATACAAAGCACATCCCAAGTCTATGTGTATCTATTTAGAAGTAAGCCCTAGCATACCTAGCCCTAGAAGTAAGCTGCTTTCAGGCATGCAAAGCATAGTTCAATTTTATGCCTGTCTGCCCAAGAATAGCAGTTGCACAAGGGCTTTTCACTGTGCAACGAGAGCTCACTGGCCTGCTTTCTTTGATAGCTTGTTTATTTATGCCCCACCTCTCAGCCAAAAGGGCTCTCAGACAGAAATACATAGCATGACAATGCTTGCCTTACTGTCTAAGGGTAAAATCAGATGGGGATTTGTTCCACAGTTTGGACGGACACTCTCTCTCTCTCTCTCTCTCTCTCTCTCTCTCTCTCTCTCTCTCTTAAATGCTTCCTACTGCAGCCCCATGGAGGAGGAGACAGGAGGGGACGAAGATTTTTTTAAAATGAAAGGCAGTGTGTCTGGCCTCACTGTTTTTGCAGAGTTCCACCTGCTCTTACATCTCTCTTCACACTGGGCTAAAATTCCCCGGGCTCTTTTCCTCCATCCCACAAAACAGTTAACTGGGTTGAACTCGTGTGACTGCTTTTGCTGCCAGCACTCAGCAGGTCAGGAAGATATATGCAGTGGATCAGGGCTGCAAGGAACTATCTGACTGGGATCACCACCCCTTCTCCAGGAGGGTATGCAAAAGCCCTCTCCTCCTCCTCCAGACTCTTCCCCACCTAGGTTGCCAGATACATGGGTACCAAAAGGAGGACATAGAAAGATAAAAAAAGAGGACAGAGGAGGACGTATTGAATGTTTCCTTTGAATCATTCCGGTTTAAACCCGCAATCGATACAATTTTATTACAATAGCTGCCAATAAATGTCTCTTAGTGAACCGACCAAGAAACAGTCATGTTAAAAAATAAAAATAAATATTATATCACCAACAAAGTTAAAACAGAGCAGCTGGTATTATGAGGCTGCCAGCTTGCACAAAAATATATTCCTTTAAAAATACAATCTCCCTGCTTAGACACTCCAGATGTTGCTCTACAGTCCCCCATTAGCAGATTTTGAGGAAAAAAACTTTATTTATTTACTTTAATGTTGGCATAGCGGGTGTTGGATTTTGACACCATCTGGAACGCCACAGGGTCCCAAGCTCTGAAAGACACCCTTCTCTTCAGAACCACTCCTTTGGTTCATGACGGTTGTCCTCCTTTTGCCTGACGTCTGGCAACTCTATCCCCACCTTACTTCAAGAGACTACAGTGCATGAACAAGATCTTTTTTTTTTAATTTTTCCATCCTCTCTCCACTTCTTTTCTTTCCCTTTGAAAAGAGGAACAGACTAAATAGGATTGCTTGAGGTACTGTGTGATTTCCTGCCCTGAAATCACCTGTTCCTTCCATGTGGATCACCACTGGGAAAAGGGCTGACAGAGAATATAGAAAACCTCATAGTTGTGCATGATGCAGGAACTGTTGAATTAGATGCATGATAGAATGACCTTTCATAATTATGTTGGTTACTCCAAACTGCTTGCATATGTTTTGTTTAATTAAGTTATCCCCAGGGGAGAAGTCCTGTGATATTATTCTCACTTTGCACTAAAAATTGTTAAAATAATGTTTTGTTATGCTTTTTCATATGTAATAAAGCTTGACTCCCTCTTAGATAAAATCCAGAGTGTCTAGAACTTTTTCTGCTGTACTTGCATACCAAAAGTAAAGAAAGAAGTGCATTCCGAACTTTTTCTGCTGTACTTGCATACCAAAAGTAAAGAAAGAACATGAGTGCATTCCAAGCTCCAGTCTGTAAACTCTGCACTCCATGTGCTTCCAAATAGCATATTGTGTGTGTGTATGTGTAAAATATGAGGAAATTAATTATTAAGGAAAGTAGAAGTTGGCATGGATATTATATTAGAAACAGCGTAGCACTTGATAAAATTAATTGTCATTTTATTAGCTGAGCAGGAATTACAGATGGATATTAAAACTGTATTAGACTCATTGTTCATAAGTTTAATTTTTGTCTAGTTTTCAGCGTAATCAGAGAGGATGAGGAAAATAGGATAATGAGTAAATTATCATGCATTTCCTAAGCAAAGCTATTGCTGTCCTATATATCATCTTATCTATATTCATATATATTTGCCATGGGGGTGAAAATCAGCTTCTGTGATGATAACTTGTATATTGTGTGTGTTTGTGTGCATGCACATATGTATTCATATTATTATTGTCTAAATATTATTCTGCTTATAATGAAAACTAGGACGTGCAGAGTCCAGCTTTATCTATGATCAGTTGCTTCTCATTAATGTGACATCACTATGTTTTGGCTAATTAGTCCCTACACCAATGTGGGCAATGCTAATTTTTTTGTGATTTTTTTAAAATATGAACAAATATACTCTAAACAGGTTTGGGATTATTTATTCTTATACAGTTTGTAAGATTCTCATGAATTGTTTAAAATAAGAATAAATTAAATTAAAGTTTTTCTACAACTGTACCTAATGCTATTTTTTCATGGTCTCTGTGACTCATACATAACACTTTTTTTCAGTTATCTGACTCTATTGTCAAAGCATAGAGCAGTGAACTGAGGGCAGAATACAATCACAGTAGAAAGGAACATTGTGTTTTAGCTCTATAAGTGTTGCAATGCTAGTAATCTAGCTTTTGACCTTGCATTTGGAATGTATACTATGTCAGAGGTGCCTTTGGTACAGCCATAGGCATGGTTATTCAGACGGAACTGCCATTGAGTTCAATGGGGATTATGCCTATGTGAAGTCTGTACAGTATAGGATTGCTGCTGACATTGCTGTTCTAATAGGCCAAAATAACCCAAGGTCAGCTCAGCTGGCTGAACTGCCAGTCTAAGGATGCTCCAGATTCCTTAGGACTAATCTTTTCTCTGAGAACCAGAACGGTGTAGTGGCTGGAATTTTGGACTAGCACTTAGGAGATCTGGGCTAAAAATTCCTGCTTGTCCATGGAAACTGAATGGGGAGGGTGGCACAAGTAAAACCACTCCTTACATTTCTCATATCCCCTGCAAACCCTACTATAATTTGGAACCAATTTGATGGCACATAACTCCCCCCCTACACACACACACTTCCTGGCTTTGTGCTAGCATGGTGGTTGTGTCCCTAGGTTGGAGTCCATTTGAATCTGGCATAATTCAGCTCCTCGTTCACTCCCACCACTATGCAGCTACTTTTTGATTCTTTCCTCGCAAATCTTAGCACAGACGTTCTGTAAGAAAATTTCTCTGTTTGCAATTGTTCTGTTGGCAGATCTCCAAAATCAGCCAGCAGATGAGGATTGTGCTAACAAAAGGGCATTTTTGCTGACAGACTGTAGCTACAGCTGGCGTGTCTTTCGACTATGATTCCACCACCCAGCTGCAATGCTGTTCACACCATAGTTAGAGTTACACTGAGTTCAGTGGGACATACCGTATTTCTTAGTAAAACCTACATGTATAGAATGCACTGTTAGATAACTGTAGGCAGCAGAAAAGATGCTCTGCGTCTATGAATACTTTAAGAAAGTGATTACGCTTTCATTTTTCTCCCTTCTCTACAGCCACCAATGTCGATTCAGTCTATTGTAGTCCAAGTCCAGTGCATTAACCGAAAAGTAGGAACCGTTATCTACCATGAAGTTCGGATTGTGGTTCGGGATAGAAATGATAATTCTCCCCAGTTTCAGCAGGAGTACTACTATGTCGCAGTAAATGAGGTCAGTTTCATTATTGCTGTTTTTGTTGCTAATATTTAATGTTAATTCAGTTCTGGCTGCTTATGTTGTGTGGATATACTTCTCACTGGGGCATAATGGGTTTAAGATACATTTTCTTGGAAAGCAGTAGAAGAAGGAAGGTTCAATTGATTTTGAGCCATAAGTGTGCTTGTAGAACAGTTTGCTGCAAGCTGAATCACTTGGGGAAAACTCTGTAATTAAATAAACAAATAAACCAAATCCAACAAGAGGGTTTTTGAAACAGAATTTGGAAGGGTATAGAAGATAAAAGAGATGCAGAAATTTACTGCCATGAGGATACTGTAGAATCTGACAAGAAAAAAGGACCCAGAAGAGATTTGCATTGCTTCTGTTACATGACAGAAATGGAAAAAGAATACAGAAATGAGCGCCTAGCAGCAACACTCATTTTCAGATTTTAAAGTGGTGACTCTTGACAAAAAAACTTAACTTTTTTGTGTGTTTGCAGATTGTTCATGGCTGTATTAACAGTTTCAGCAAAAAAAAATCATTCTGGGGATTATAGCTTTTTCCTTTTTTAATAATCTGATTTTATTTTGTATCAGCTAGCTCTAAATTGGATCCATCCACTTGGGGATGATATGCAAGGAGAAAAAGCTGATTTTTGGGTTTACATTTAGCCTCTAATGTATAGCTTCTTCATTATATTTGTTACACAATCAGTGGATCAATGAGTGTGTATAAGGGGAGCTCCTGCCTTCAGTTTCACCCAGAGAACTGTTTTTTCCCCCTCAATGATCTATGGATAGTGGAGGTTCTGCTGTTCAGGGTTGCTCTCCGACATGCATTAAAGGCAATAGAAGTGATGCGGGAGGGATAGTACTAAAATAGACCTCTTGGTAAGGAGTTCCTAGTCTGAATCCTGAACAGGCCTGATCTTGTATAAGGCTGTAGTCACACGGGAAAATAGATCACAATTTGGACTGTTTGTGGAGCAATCTGTTTCTCAGCAATCACATGGTGCATGGGGAAATGCGCTCCAGGCTAATCCAATCCATGCCAAAATGGATTCTTTTTGGTCTAGCTATAGAACCTCTACTTTTTAAAGGCCAGGCTAGAGCAATTCCCCAGCTGATGGAAAAGTTGCTCTAAGAGAGATTGTTCCTGTTGACCTTTTCCAGTGTGATCAGGCAGACACCTTCACAGCCATCTAATTGCACCATAAATTCTTCTTTGCAAGAGCAGCCCCAGATCTGTGACTCACACTGTCCTTGGTTTAAGAGCACTAATTTAAAGCACCTGAAATCTGTGGGTCTTATCCCCCCTCTTTTTGTCCCATATGCAAGGTTGTAACTATTATTAATGTTATTTAATTAAAATGTCTCATGGTTTGTAGACAGGCTACTCCCTCCCCTGTAAGTCCTAGGTACAAAATACTCACAAGTGGTGTACCAATCCCTTCTTCTGCTGGCTTTCCAGGATTATGAAGCTAGCACAAACTGGGTTTTCTCCAGAACAGAACTCCCAACAACATGGCTTTGCAGCCAGAAATCCATCTCAGTCCAACCAGCTGATATCTCCAAACCAGTCTCCCATTGTTCTTTACTTCCTTTCCCATTTATTTCACCTTGAATGATGAACTGTCACAATCTGTAGTTATTATTTCTCTTTTGGTAATCAAAATGTTGCTACTTGCATTTAACATGTCTTATGTCCTATGATTTTTATTTACAGTGGGGTCTCGACCTACGTTGTCACAATCTGTAGTTATTATTTCTCTTTCAGTAATCAAAATGTTGCTACTTTTGCATTTAACATGTCTTACGTCCTATGATTTTTATTTATTCTTATCTTCTTTGTCGGTCATTCTCAATCCAATCATTTTAAATGTTTATTTAACAGAACTTTCTGAGAATAAAATTCTGAGAAATATTGGAACGGAGTCCATAGGTCGAAAAGTTTGTTGGTCGAAAATGCATTCCCCATAGGAATGCATTGAAAACCTATTAATCCCTATCTGGCCCAAGAAACCCCAAACTTCGACTATTTCACCTTGAATGATGAACTGTCACAATCTGTAGTTATTATTTCTCTTTCAGTAATCAAAATGTTGCTACTTTTGCATTTAACATGTCTTACGTCCTATGATTTTTATTTATTCTTATCTTCTTTGTCGGTCATTCTCAATCCAGTCATTTTAAAGGTTTTTTTTAACAGTTGGTCATTCTCACTTCTCAATCATTTTAAATTCTCAGAAGGTTATGTTAAATAAACATTTAAAATGTCTTTTTTCTTTCTTTAATATCAGTGTGTATCAATGATTCCATGCCATACAGTAGAACTGAGAATATATAGCATCACAATGGGGATTCTCAAAGTTAATTTTAAGGGGTTTTTTGGGGGGCTTCTATCAAAGAGGCATTTGTTCTGCTCGCTGTGGGGACACTTTGCAATCGTATAACATAATTACTGGAGCAAGGGAAATAATCTCCATACGAGTTCTACCTGCCAGGGGCTTTTACTTTTCTAGTATGAGTGGGATCACTCTGGTTTAGTCTGTTTCTAGAATATGTGATCATTGGGAACATACCAAAAGCAAGCCTTCGCAGCTGCCAAATCTCCTTCCGATTTGAATTCCAAAATCGTGAAGTGGCCTAATAAGTGAGCCACTTTACGATATTGGCAAATTGAACACTTCTTCTGTAGGGAAAGTTACGATTTTTTAAAAAGGCTCTAATAGACCATCGCTTATGCATTGCATCATTAAAAAAGAAAAGAAAACAACACATTTTGTTTGGTTTCTTTTAAAGGATTGTTCAAGAAACTATCCCTCAGACTTTAGGCAGTTTCTCAATTGGCCCTTCAGACATACAAAAACTTTCTTTTTCTTTTTAAAAAAATGAATCAGTGCTTCAGTGATAGTCTACCAAAGTATTTTTTTTAAAAAATCATTTCCTCTGCCTCTCCACTGATGAGCAGAGAAAGTGTTTAATTTTCTGATATCGTAAACGGTCTCACTTACTTTTATTTTATGATATTAGAAGGAACTGGACCGAATAGAGTCACTTGAGCTCTAATATGCCATTTGGATGCAAATATCACACCTCCATTCAACCTCAAGCGACCCTATTTAGCCCACACTAGCCTGCTCCAAAAGAGCCAGTGTAGACACGCCCTAACGTACTAGCCAAATTTCTATTGAGTAAATTATGCTTGTGTAGGGGTGATGATGCCAATGACAGAAGGAAATTGCAGATAATTAAAGAGTTCCTGCTTCAATATTAGGGTTTCCTTGGCTTGCCCACAGCTTACCTACAATTAGTATCATTGTGGGTGAGTCAGGCAGTCACAGGATTGAAGCAGAAATTCTTTAATTACAGGCAATCTCAGCTTGCCAGATATTAGCAGTGGCAAATTCTAGGTTCCAACTTCAATCCGAGGTGTCCCTTTAGTTGCCCACAGTTAAGCTGATTGCAGGTTACCAGAGGCAGCCCTGAGACTGAAACTGTTCAGGAGGTTAGCGCACACCCAAAAAGCCAATTGAGGACTTGTTAATTGCCATAAGTAGCTGCTGCAAGTTATGCCATTTGCCTTTCACAGGTGTAACTCAACAACAGAATTTTGGCTACTGTAAAAACAACAATAAATACTAATTCAGTATCAGATAACTCTGAGTGGAACTACTAATCCAAGAGTTAGTTTTGTTTGCAACAAGCAATTCAGACTTTTTCCTTATAACTATAGTAGTATACCTTCCCATGTGGAATGGACAATATTGTCTTTATCTGATAACAGCACATTAATTTGTGCACACTAAACTGCTCTTCCTGGTAGGGGCAACCTGTGGACTAGAAATATATGGATGGGAGTGGCATGGGGGTTACCATAAAATTTTGGAGCCTACCCCCAAAGTGACCATTACCTTGCTCACTGGCAAATGTTCAATGATGGATCTTGAAAGCCTTTAGTCCTTAACTATAAATACAAGATTCCATAACATCACATGTGCCAACTCATCATGGACCTGTGATCACAGGAGCATATTATTGCATTCTGCTGACCTTCAAACTTGGCTATATACTGAAATGTGCCAAATAAAGACCTTTCCATGATCAAAATTCATCATGTTAATAAAAAAAAAGATAGGAGGCTAAGAAAAAGAGCAGAGTTTTACTTCTGAAAAGGTCCTGTTCTCAAGCTGCTTAATGATCTGTCTAGACACTCAGATCCAGCAATCTGCTTTCTTGAAAGTTTATCTTGAAAGTTTATAAATAAATAATAAATAATAAATAAATATCTGCATAAAAACATCACAGATTTTCTTAAAAATTCAAATTTATCAACTAAAACCAGTACTATCACATTCCTCCATTCTTTTATTTATTTATCCATTCGACTTGTGTGCCACCTACACTCTGCAAGAGTCTCCAACATCAATTTCAACAATTCAATTAACGCAAACACTCTAAAAACCAATACTGTTAAAACAAAAACAAAATCTACAAAAACAATCTAGATCTATGTCAATTAAAATTAAAATTAAAACTAATTAAAAAAACTTCTGGAACAGGAAGGTTTTAACCAACAATTCAATTAACGCAAACACTCTAAAAACCAATACTGTTAAAACAAAAACAAAATCTACAAAAACAATCTAGATCTATGTCAATTAAAATTAAAATTAAAACTAATTAAAAAAACTTCTGGAACAAGAAGGTTTTAACCTGGCACCGAAATGTCAGTAACATCGGTGCCAGTCAAATATTGTTTGGGAGGGCATTCCAAAGACTAGGGGAAGCTTCTGAAAAGGCCCTCTGCCTACAGGCCATCCCTCTCACCTCCCTGAGGGATGGCTCTTTAAGGTGGGCCTTCTGGCTAGATCTCAGTTGCTGGGTAGTTTCATATGGAAGGAGGCGGTCCTGCAGATATCGAGGGCCCAAGCCATTTAGGACTTTATATGTCAAAATAAGCACTTTGAATTGGGCCCGGGCAACAACTGGTAGCCAGTGTAACCTGGC